CCCTAGTTAGTTAATCTACTACTTGTTTCATTCCTTAGTTAGTTAATCTACTACTTGTTTCATTCCTTAGTTAGTTAATCTACTACTTGTTTCATTCCTTAGTTAGTTAATCTACTACTTGTTTCATTCCTTAGTTAGTTAATCTGCTTGTTTCATTCCTTAGTTAGTTAATCTGCTTGTTTCATTCCTTACTTAGTTAATCTACTACTTGTTTCATTCCTTAGTTAGTTAATCTGCTTGTTTCATTCCTTACTTAGTTAATCTACTAATTGTTTCATTCCCTAGTTAGTTAATCTACTACTTGTTTCATTCCTTAGTTAGTTAATCTACTACTTGTTTCATTCCCTAGTTAGTTAATCTACTACTTGTTTCATTCCCTAGTTAGTTAATCTACTACTTGTTTTATTCCCTAGTTAGTTAATCTACTACTTGTTTCATTCCTTAGTTAGTTAATCTACTACTTGTTTCATTCCTTAGTTAGTTAATCTACTTGTTTCATTCCATAGTTAGTTAATCTATTACTTACTTATTAAGTGAATATACTGTTTGTTTCATTCCTTAGCAGATAGTCCAATGTGACTTTGCTCTAAAACAAACAAAGCATGGTATGGAAATGGTAAGAAATAAATAAAGTCAGGTTATAATATTCTGTTTTGTAATAGAGAGAGTTAATATTTAATATTAATATTTAAACTCTCTCTATTACAAAACAGAATATACTTTTTTTTTCCTTGTTTTTAAATGCTTTTAATATGGTACAACACTTCTGTACACATTTTGTAATATAACTGACAAATATAATGAAGTATCAGATTCAATGATAAGTTGACTAGATCAATGATAATAATTTTATAGAGAAAATTTAGTTAGACAATATAAAATAAAATTAAACGTGTAAAATCTACGAAAGGCCAGTTTAATATTTCAATCTTACACAGCAGTTAAAAATTTTTCCAAAAACGTATTTGCTATATTTTACACATAATTTCAGGAAAACATGTCGACCCATATGGACCATTGTAAAACCTATACTGGATCTATAAAACCTCATGATTTCATCTTAGCACCTGTAAGTGCTAAAGCTCAGCTTCTGAGAAACTGCTCTCCAAAACCTCTTAGATCAAAATCCACTCCTCGTCTAGTGTGTGACCTTCAGCTGGGGAAGATCCCTCTTTCTCTTACGGAGGTATGTATCTAAGATTTTATTGAATTGTCCACTAGTTTCCTAAGGTTTGTTTGCATGGTACTTAAACCTGAGCTGTTGAAATAGAAAAGTAGTGGCTGTGAGGCTGTTTTTCAAAACTTGCTGCCTCCATCAATGTGTTTTGCTCAGTTAATTAAAAACACTCAACTTACATGATCTGTTGGCTTTATCCAGTTAACCCTTTTCAGTCTTCAGAGCACTGTTCAGGTGTCAAGTGCACACCTGCGTATCAGGTTTCAAAAGTTAAATAAAACATTAACCCAATTTCAACAATGTTTAGGTCAAATATATTTTATAATTGATATTCTGACACTTGTTGGAATATTCCAAGCTTTTACTTGTTGTTAAACAAATGTTTAAACAACTCAATTCAATTATGTACCA